TATTTATTTTTTTAGTACCGGTCTACAGGTTCTCACTACACAGATTGGACTCGTAGTGATCCTCTGGTTTTCAGCCTCCCAAGTGTTGAGATTACAGGAGCGCACCACCATGCCCAGTTTCAGTTGCTGTCTCAGCACGCCCCGTGGGTGGGGCTGGCACAGCATGCTGGGGGTCGAACCCTGGCCGCTACGTTATGCCTAATTAGCTCTTTAGTTTACTGAGCTATCTGGCCAGCACTTCTGTATTCTTAAAGGATAGATTGTACTTTAATCTTTATTTTGGTCCTTTACATCATCTTTGTCCTTTTTGATCATTAGTTCTGTGTCAATTAATGAATTTTACATATTTTTCTACATTTTTCAAAACTGTAATGCTTGAATTAACAATGTCTTGAAAGTTTGAAAATGATTCAGTAATCTGAGTACTTTATTAATGTGTTTGAGTTTTCTTTTACTTGTTTTTATTTTTTCTAGATCTGTAGGAATTTCCAGTGTGTAAATGCATCTGTTCTGAATTACGACTGTGATATTCAGGAGAAGTGTCATGGACATGGGGTAGGTAGTATTCTCTTTTGGTTTGTTTATGAGAGTAGTGCTGAATAATGAGAATGCCCCAGGAGTATTAAATGAGAGTTCTAAAGATTTTGGAATTTTTAGGTGTTGGACAACTTACCAGTAAAATTTTCATTCTCAAAGAGTTTAAAGATTTTTGTATTTTAGGGGCTGGTGAGATGGCTCAGTGGTCTAAAGCACCTACTTAGAACAAGCTAAGCTAAGCAAAACACAGGGACCGTGGTTCAATCCCCAGCACCACATGCTAGCCAGGCCTGCCCCCTGGTGGGCTGAGCTGGCCACACACACACTAAATAAACAAATAAATAAATAAATATTTTAAAAAAAATAAATAAAGATTTTTGTATTTTAGTCTGTTGTCTTGGTTTTCATTTTGTAATTAATGAAATAGAGCAAGAGAAACAATTAAGAAAGTGATATTTTGGTTGTTTTGAAGGTATGTAATAGCAATAAGAACTGTCACTGTGAAAATGGCTGGGCTCCCCCGAATTGTGAGACTAAAGGATATGGAGGAAGCACGGACAGTGGACCTACATACAATGGTCAGTAATACTGAAGAAACCGCTGAGATTTCCCAGTGGCCCAAGACATAACTTGGGTAACCTTGTACTACCTACCCCCTTGCCCTCCACACCAGTTACACATTAAACTGTGTTGATTGTGCCTTTCAAATTCTTTGTAGATATTTATGGGTTTTTGTAGTGTTCTTGCTTGTTTGTTTGTCATATTGAGGATTGAACCCAAGGAAAATCGAAGTATATCCCTAGCCCTTTAAAAAATTTGTTTTGTGATAAGCTCTTGTTAATCATGTCCAAGTAGCTGAGACTGTAGGTGTGCAACCCCATGTCTAGCTCATTTCCATTTTTTTCAATCCTCATTTCTTCCAGTTTCTTGCCTTGCCTTACATAATGAATTGTAAATGGCATCATATGTAGGCTTCTCAGGCGCTTTAGTATGCTGATCTGTCTGGCCGGCTCGCCAGTGTCCTATTTTAAATTCAGTGTTTTTGCACTGCTGTTAGCATGAAGTCCCCAAATGATTAGCATATTTTAAATGCTCTACATGATTTCCCTGAGCTTATCTTTCTCTCTTCTTTGTGCCTTAAACAGATTGTGACATCTTTAATTTTCTCTAATAGCCAACTCTTTTTTATTGCTGAGCCTTCAAACGATTTTATATTCATTTTGTTTTTCCCCCAACTGTGTAAATTTGAGCTAATCAGCCACTATTCTTTGCTTTTCTAGAACTGTTAGTACATCACATACTATAATAATTACTTAGTTACAGTAGTCCCTTTCAGTTTTCCAGTTCAACTTTCATAGACTCACTGTTTTGTGGGTTTTCAAAAAATATTGATCTAAATTATTTATCACAGATTTTTCACTATATTGCAGTATTTTGTGGTAGTGTACAGTAATGTGTACGTATGTTGTTAAAATTATGTAGGTTTGTGAATTTAGAAAATGGTTAAGAACATTAGAAGTGTTTTTGAAAGTATGGAAAGGTTTATAAGGGTGTGGGGTGTATAAAGCTTTAAAACGTATATAATAAATATAATTACTAAAATAAATATAATGTTGCAACTTTGCTGAATTTCATTGATGGGGGGTGATGTGTATCTGAAACGTAGCCCCCATGATCTGTGAGGGGCCACTGTGCTTGCTTTTATTTCCTGCTAGACTAAGAGCTGTTTACAAAGAGTAGTATTATGTGTAGTTTCAGGTATCCTCTGTGGATTACAGGGTATTGCTTTATACTGCTTTACATTCTCACTGCCAAGATACAAGGACTCCAGTTTTTTCACATGCTGTCTAACATTAGTATGGTCGGCATTTTAAATTTTACGCTTCTGGTAGATATATTTAAAGTGTAGTTTTAATTTGTATTTCACTCATTAATGATGCTGAGCATATTTCCACATGCATATTTTCTATCCACATATCTTTTTAAGTGATATGTCTATACGTATCTTTTTTCAGCTTTTTAGTAGTTCATCTTGAGTTCTGGAGATTCTTGTGAATACAGTCCTTTTAACAAATACGTATTTTCTCCTTTCCTTATTTATTTATTTATTTATTAAGTGTATTTAGTACAGGGTCTACAGGGTCTCACTACACAGACTGGATTCATAGTGATCCTCCTATTTTCAGCCTCCCCAGCGCTGGGATTACAGGCGTATGCCACCTTGCCTGGACTGTTTTTAGTTTTTTCTTTGATTCAAGAGTTTATAATTTTTTTGCAATATTGGGGATTTTCATTGCATCTTAATTTTATTAAAATTTTTATTCTACCATAGTTAACATTTATATGACTTAAATCTTGTTATATTTTTTGAAACTGGTCTTAGTACACTGAATGTGGTTTATCTTAGTAGTTCTGTATACACTTGAAAAGAATGTGCTCTGCTGTTTTTGGGTATTTTACACGGAATAAATGCTAGCTATTAGATACTCAAATTGCATGTTTTTTTTTTTTTTTTTTTTTGTTTTGTTTTGTTTTTCTTTTTTGGCAGAACCGGGGATTGAACTCAGATCCTTGCTTTTGCCAGTCAGGCGCTTATCCTACTAAGCCATCTCCCCAGCCCCTATCAAATTGCATGTTTACTGATTATTTTTCCACTGTCTTTTAATTATTGAGAGATTATTGATTTCTCCTGTGATTGCCAATTTGCCTGTTTCTTAAGTTCTATCAGCTTTTATTTTTTAAAAATTTTAAACAGTTTTATTATACATGTTGGCAGTACATAATGTTTTTGTTTTTGTTTTTTTTTACATAATGGTTTTTTAAAACTATTTAGAACAGGGTCTACACGGTCTCATTGCACAGATTGGACTCACAGTGATCCTCCTGTTTGCAGCTTTCTAGGTACTGGGATTACAGGTGCATGCCACCATGCCCAGTCTCAGTCTCCATCTCAGCGTGCCCCAGGGATGGGGCAAAAGCCTAGGGATCAAACCCCTAGCCCCTGTGTCTGCTTAAGCAGGCACTTTAATCTCCTGAGTTACCTGGCCGGCCGTACAGTACATAATGATTGCATTCATTGTGGGGAGTTGCTGCATGTACATGACACATCTTGATTCATTTGTCCATGCCCTTCCCCTCTCCCTCTTCCCTCCATCTCTTCATCTCCTTCCTTTTTGAGAAAGATCTGTCACCCTACTTCCTATTATTTATCTTTTATTTTGCTTTGTATTTATATATTGGGTTTCTCATATAAGTGCTTTGGATACTAAAGTACCATGTAATGATACTTAAGCTTGTGTGTCTGATTTATTTCACTTCACATTGTAGTCTTAGGGTGCATCTATTTTTCTAGAAATGACTCAAATTTATCCTTCTTTATGTCAGAGTACTATTCTTTTTGCATATATTCCATATTTTCTTTATCCATCTGTTGCGCATAGAGAGTGCTTCTAAGATTTAGCTATTATGTGTCTTTAACTCTTTTGGGAAGGTAGCTAGAAGTCCCCTAATCCTAGCTGGGTCAAATGGAATTTCTAGTTTAGTTTTTTTAAACCTATGTTATCTTGTAATATTTAGATCCCTCTCTACTTTTCTCATAGGTATTGCTTCTCAAATTTAATTAATTTTCCCCTCATTTTTTATCACACTGTCCTGCTTCTTTGCATGCCTTGTAATATTTTCATAGGTTCTAGAAATTGTGAATTTTACCTTGTTAGGTACTAAATAAGCTTTGTTCTATTAGGTTTGAATTTCTTGGACATAACTTCTTCCTGTGCGTCTTATAAGCTTAGCTGTGACCTACACAGCCTTTGCTGGGTAGTTTAACCCCTTCACCAAGGTACAAACTGTACCATTTAGAGTATTAACTCAAGACCACATTAATTAGGAGATTTTTCTAATTGTGCTGTAAGAACACACACACTGTGTAGTCTTGAGAACTATAGAATTATACCCTATAATGCTCTCCCCTGGTTTTTCTCTAGCTTCTGGTAGTTTCGTAACAGGCCAACATTGATCATGTCCAGTGGAGTGTTGGGGGAGCCCTTTGCAGGTGGTCAGATTCTCGCTAGCTCTTTTCATTCTGGCACTTGGTTCAATGCATTGTAGTTTCCTTCGGTTCTCCAGAGTCTGCTCTGTCATCCTCTCGGGGAGCCAGTGGGTCTTGGCTTGTGTCACTCTATCCCCTGTGTTCTGTTAACCTTCTCTGGGCAGTAATCAGGGCAGTTGTAATGTTTCTTTCTTAGGGCTGATTATTCTTCATTGTCTGGTGTCTCATAGCTTGAAAACTATTGTTTCATGTATTTTGTCTGGTTGTTTGAGCCACTTGGGTTAATTGATGATAGCCCCATCTTGGCTAGATAGGAAAGTAGAATTATGGGATTTAGTGGAACATGTACAAGTGTGCTGTAACTTTCTTTAGCTTTTTCCAATTAACATTTAGGTTATTTCTAAGCTTTTGATATACTCTATTAACATCTGTAGTATATATCATAAGGCCTGCCCTTTCTTTTAGTTCAACAATAAATTGTAGGTAATGAAATTATTAGATTGAGGTTATAATACTTTGTATGGTTATTGATAAAAATTCCAAATGACAGATGCCAAACAACATAAAGGTGTCAATGTTAACATAATATAGACACTGTTATGTGCCTTCGTTTAAATTTTATATAATCATTACTAAATATAAAATATATATCAAGCTTTGATTTTTTTTATGTTTAGATTTTTGATAGGGATGAATGTTTTTACACATGGTTTTGTGTGACTTCTTAAAGAATTTTCTGGTACATTTACAAAATTAGAATAATGAGGCAAATGTCAGAGTTTACCATTCCTTTTCACATCTACTGTACTATTTCTTTAAACAACACAGACCGAATTGTTAATTGATGGACTTTTTTCAGTGCAGGAGAATAAACCCAAGGCTTGTGCATTATAGTTGAGGACTTCACTACTAAGCTGTAGTCCCAACCCTAATTAATGATTATTTTTATATATGTAGAATTGGGAAGTAAACCTAGGGCCTTTGCACTGAGCTTGAGATGGGGTCTTGCTATGTCACTAACTTGTGCAGGCTGAGATCAGACTTGTGATCCTGCCTTTGCCTCCTCGAGTGCTGAGAATCCAGGCATATGCCACCCCACTTGGCTAATCAGTTTTTTAAAAGCTATAATGAAGTTCAAATTCCATAGACCATGAAAAAGAAATTAAACTATATAAAAATAATAAACTTTTATGTAGAGAAAAGCATTGTACCATAGAAAAATGACAAAATGGGGAAAATACTTCCATTTTATATCACTGACAAAGCTGATTTCTTTAATATATACATAAAGAGCTTTTAGAAATTAAAAAGGGAAAACTAATTCAAAATACAGAAAAATAAAAAACCCCAATGTTTCCTTAAATACAAAAAGTACAAAACTCAATATAAAAAAGAAATGTAATTAAAAATTGTGTGAGATACAATTTTTCACCAACCATATTAGCAAAGGTCCAGAATTTTGGCTCTGTTGGGAAGTGTCTGAAGAATTATTACATATTGTTTCTGGGTTGCTAAATTGTAATCATTACTACAAAGAGCAATTTGATAATACTTTTTGAAAGATTATTTGCATTTACCCTCTGATAGAGCAAATCAGCTTTTGGGAAATTATTCCATAATTATTCCTGCATCTGTAAAATAGGATGCAGACTTCTGCATCTTACCAAAAAAAAACTTTTTTGCAGTAGCAAAAGATTGGGAAAAATCAAAGTGTCCATGAGTAGAATACCCTCATGGTGGAAGTGTGTGTAGAAAATGAGGCTATTTATGGTTTGGAATGGTATATAGATAAATGAAAATAGTGATTTACTAAACAGTTTATTGTATGCTACCTTGTATGTAAGAAAGGGTTAACTATAAATACATATTGGCCTTCTTTTTATGTGTGAAAAAATACTGTAAATTTAAGAAATGACTAATAATGGGTACATTTATGAAGACAGAAATGAAGTGAATGGGGATGGAGTGTGAGCAAGACTCCTCAGTCTGTATAGTTTATATCCATTTTGCTTTTTAGATTAATTTTATTGGTACATTTTAGATATACATACTGATAACATTCATCATAAGAAATTTATACCTGTGCATAATATGTCTTGATTCTTTTTTCCTGTTTCCTTCCCTCCCTTTAATTTCTCCTCCCCTCATTATTTTTATTTTTTTTCTCCCCTCATTATTTACAGAAGTTTGTTTTCACTCCCCACTCCCTCAACCTATTGCCCTTCCCATTTGAGCATTTCTTCCTATTTCACATTATCTATTAAACATTTTGGTCTTTATTTATACTTTGTTTCTAATACCAGAGAAACAATGTGATATTTATACATGTGTCCAGTTTATTTCACTTAAGAGTATGGTCTCATACCTACCTCACAGGGTTGTTGTGGGGATTAATTAGAAATGATGTCTGTAAAGCATTTAAGGTTCTTGAAGAAGGCACTATATAAATATAAAATAATATCTATTAAAGTTAAAAAAAAAAAAAGAGTATGGTCTCAAGGTGCATCCATTTACCTAGAAGTGTCCCAAGTTGAATGGAAAACATTGATTTGATAACCAGTGTTCTGGGTAGGGTGGGCTAACATCTAGTTTAATGGCCAATAAAATATGTTTCCTCTCTCTAGAAAAGAGCACTGCGTTAAGGGATGGACTTCTGGTGTTCTTCTTCTTGGTTGTGCCACTGATTGCATTTGCTACCTTTCTCTTCATCAAGAGAAATGAACTACGGAAGACATACTTCAGAAAGAAGAGATCACCAACACATGAGTACTTAAATTTTGGTTTTTAATTTTTATTAAGTAATTTGTAGCAATTATTGATGATGATAGTCCTATTATAGGGGTCATCAGCCTTTTAAAAGTTGGGTTCTAAGCCAGCTCTCTGTTCTTTTGCTGTGATAATCATGGGTTTAAAGGGTGGCAAGGATTGCTCTGTATGCCGTTGACAGTGCCCTTATGGCTTCTTTTGCTTATCACTGATTTTGGAGAGTGGGATAAGTAGAATTGTAGGGTGTGATGTCTATATCCTAATTACAGATTAAAATATGGGATAAACATAAAACATGCAAATGTTGAAAATTTTTCTTCTATGTGTTCATGTCATGTTTCAGTTTTCACAGAGGAAGACTTTAATTCTTAATTTTGAAAACAGACTAAAAAAATAAGTTTTGGTAGAAAAATGATCTTTTAATCATAATTCTGTCACCTGACATTGCTAGTCTGTGTTTTGGACTGTCATAAAATTCTTATATTAATCACTTCTAATGTATTGGTATCCAAATGTAGTGTTCACTAGTATGGAGCTTGTAATTAGATCTGGGTTCAAGTTTTAGGTTTCTTTGGTGGAATTATGATCTGAAATTATAAATAAAGTTCTCTGAGCCTTGGGTTATTTTCTATAAAGTTGGAATATTAATATTATCTTTCTCATAGTGTTTTTGAAACATTAAGTGAAAGGATTACATGAGGAAATATTAGCAAATAAAGGCCACAGCACTCTCCTGCCTCATTGTAATTACTTAGTAATTATGATCATGATTTCCAAATACCCCTTGCTGATCTTGGTTGTTCACCTTTGCTTCATTGCTTTTCAGAATAATTTTCCAGAGTGTCTTGATGTTTGCTTTAAGCTTTAGTGTTTTCTACCCAAGTTTGTCTTCCTACTCTATTTCTCTTCTTGTCGCAGTTCAGCAGGCTATGCAGAAAGTGCCAAATTTTTTCCTAGTTGATGCTGGCACATTTATACTCGATGTTTGATATTTAGCTAATATCTTTCTAAGAAACCTGTTTTATACCCTTATACTCCTAATTTTTTAGTGATTACTTCATATACTGTATTGTATAGTCTAAACATATGTGTTTAACTCTTCTGTTAAAGTTTATTATTGAAGATTTAAAAAGAAAAATGAGTATACTGGCCTAATACATAATTTCCTAATTTTTTTCCAGCTATTTAGTTATAAAATGTGGTTAATACTTTTTATGTTATAGCAAGGATTAACCATGTGTGGAAGCTGTTAAAAAGTGCCTAGCTGCCTAACTTATTATTTAGTATTAGGAAAAGGATTTATGTGATGTGTACTTTGGAAGTATCTTAATGTTACTTTAGCTCAAAAGTAATGATATATGTTTCAGGTCAGATGGCAAAAGTCAAGCAAGTGTTTCTAGACAGCCAGTGAATGATCCTCGGCAGCCGATGGGTGCCCCTCGACAGCCTGTGGGTGCTGCTCGACAGCCAGTGGGTGCCCCTCGACAGCCTGTGGGTCCTTCTCGACAGCCCGTGGGTGCTCCTCGACAGCCTGTGGGTGCTCCTAGACAGCCTGTGGGTGCTCCTAGACAGCCGGTAAATGTTCCTTAACTTATTTCTCTAGTAAGTCCTCCAAAAGAAGTCATAAGCTTAAAATGAAAATTTTTCTTTACTATGTTAAAGTATTGCGTGTTGGAAAATTTTTTAAAGAATTGAAATGTTGCCTGGTGGTGGAATGCTTGCTTAACATGCATCAGGCTCTGAGATCAACCTCTAGCACTAGGAGAAAGAAAAAGGGTTGTGTAGAATTGATGTGAACGTAGATACTTTTTAAAGTAATTTGAGGGTTGTCTAGGTGGTCCTTAAGTTAAAGGAATACCAGTAGGATCCCTGGCTCAGAGGATCTGAACTTTAAGAGTGCTTTGCCTTGAAGCCAAGAATGGGAAGTGACCTGGGAAGGAGATTCTCAATATTATTTTCTCTCCGCTTGCTGTCTGTTTTCAAAACCTGGCTTCCCTAGAGCATGTTAGTTAGACCTGGTACTGAGCTACTAAAAGGCCTGATTGTCTCACCAGTTGTGTAACTATTGGGTGGGCCCCAAATAGTCCAAGTTATTATGTATCAATAATGAGGAAAGAATTGCCACACATACACTTTGTAGTATGTAGTAAGTAGCTACATTTATTGAAGATCAAGTGGTGGTAGAAGCATGAACAGGCAGAGAGGAAAAGAGAAGAGAGGGCCCTAGGTAACTCAGGCTTCCAGGACTTAGTGCCTCTCACTACCTCTCTCTCAAGTGTCAATGATCTGCCTCAGACATTGGGACCACATAAAGTTTTGGTATTCTATTTTATACGTCTTAAGACAGTGGAATTGTGGATAATCATGAAGGTAGTGTTTACGGTTGAAAGGAGAAGAGTCCCTCACTCAGCTTCTGTTTCTAACTGTACTGTGGAATTAATATTGTTGAGATGCTCATACTTCCAAAGCAATCTACAGATTCATTGCAATACATATCAAAATTCCAGTGATACTAGTTTAAGTAAACTCATGCCACCTACAGTTAATTCTTCCAATCGATGAACATAGGTGTTCTTTCAGTTTTTTGCTATTGAGTATGATATTATATATGGGATTCTGATAAATGGTCTTCATTTTATTGAAGTTCATCTATTTGTGTCTTCAAGTTTTTTTATCAGAGTTTTGTAGTTTTCAGTGTATAGATCTTTTGCCTTTTTGATGAAAATTATCTCAAGTTATTTTATTTTGGATGTTATTCTGAGTAGATTGTTCTTTTAATATTTTTTCAGAAAGTTATTTGTGTTTTAAAATGTCAGTGATTTTTAATTTTGATTTTTGTCTCTTACAACTTTGCTAAATTATTTGTTGCTATCAGTTATTTTCGTGGAATCTTTAGCGTTTTCTGTATTTAAAAACATGTCATCTACAAATAGAAACAGTTTTACAACTTTGCTTTTTGGATGTCTTTCATTTTTTCTTACCTAATCATCCTAATTAGAACTTCTTGAACTTTGTTGAATAAAAGTGGACATCCTTGTATTTTTCCTAATAGAGGAAAAGCTTTCAGTTGTTTGCTATCGAGTATGATATGTGGGATTCTGATAAATGGTCCTCATTTTATTAAAGTTCATTCCTTTCAAACCTGCTGGTTGAGAGTTATTATCATGAAAATACGTTGAAATTTGCTAGATATTTTTGCTTTATCTGTATCTATTTGAGGTGACCATATGATTGTTGTCCTGTAATGTGGTGTACCACATTTATTGATTGGTGTATATTCAGCCATCCTTATAAGTGCAAGGATAAGTCTCACTTGTTTATGGTGAAATATCTTTCTAATGTTTATCAGGGATATGTCGATCAAGGATAATGGTCTATAATTTTCTTTTCTTATAGTGTCCTTATCTGTTTTTGGTACCAGGGTAAGACTGTACTGCCCTCATTGAGTGAGTTTGAAAGTATTTTCATCAACTTTTAAAAGTTTGAGAAACTTGCTAGTAGTTCTTCTTTAAGGTTTTTTTTCCCATAATTTTATTGAGAGACAAATAACAATGAGACAGTTTCAAATGAAATTGGTAGGACAGTTTCAATAATTAACACACTGCATACTGTCTTCCTAGTGGTTATTTGCTGTACAAGATGCAGACATGATACTCTATTTACAAACACTATTACAACAAATCCCTCTATTCATTAAGAGAATGTAACTATATATCTATCCTAACCATTTTGAATACACAGATACAAAATGGACATTCATTTATATATCCCCTTTTTTGTTTAATTCTGTCATTTGAATGTTCTTTAAGGGTTTGGTAGAAACTAACTATAAAGCTCCCAAGTCCTGAGAATTCTATCTTGATGTAAGATTTAACATTGCTGATTTCAAATCTCTTTACTTGTTGTTGGTCTGTTCAGATCATCTGTTTCTTCATGATTCAGTCTTAAGAGTTGCTTGCTTCTAGAAATTTATCCTTTTATGTTTTCAGTATGTTGAAGATAATTGTTCAGGATAGTTCCTTATGACCTTTTCTAATTTTAAACTATCAATTGTAATATCTCTTATTTCATCACTGAGTTTACTTGTCTTTTTTCTCAGTCTTACAGTATTATATTTATCCTTTTTTAAAAAGCCCAGCTCTAATTTTTTTAAATTTGTATTTCACTTTTTCATTTATTTATTCTCTGATCTTTATTATTTGCTTTGGCTTAGTTTTTCTTATTTTCCTAGCTTTTGAGGTAGGAAAAAAGTAACTCTAAAAGTAACTCTTAGAATGCCCTTTCTGAAACCTGATACTTTTTGAATTTTGTTTTTCTAGATATCTGTATACATATAATTTTTGATTTCTTCTTCACCTTGTGATTATTCCGATACATACATATGCATTAATTTGCATAATTTATAAACTATTGTTTAATTTGCATACACTTGTGAAATTTTTTCTTTTGTCAAACTCTGGACCTTGCCCTTACCTTACAGGTGCTTGTGCCACTGAGCTACATCTCCAGCCTTCTGGTCAGGATTTTTGATAAGATTTTTTTTTTTAACTTTTTGGTACTGGGAGTTGAACTCAGAACCTCACACTTGACAAGTAGGCATTGTACCACTGAGCTATATCCCTGGCCCTGATAAGATTTCAGTATTTCTAAATTTGTTAAGGCTTGTGACACATTTTGATTCTCATTTCCTTTTGTGTATATTCTATGGATATATTCTCTGGTTACCATTGCATTACATTAGATATCTTAAAGTTATAACAGCCCACTTTAAACTGATTATAACTTTTGTGGTGTTAGAGATCAAATCTAGGGTCTTGTACGTGCTAGGCAAGCATTCTATCCCTAAGCCACACCCATAGCCTATTTAAGCAAAATATTTTAAAATTTCAGCATTATAAGTAATTTAAGTATATTAATTATATATAAAACATATTTATGACATCATTATAATATCCTTTTAAAAAAATTTTTTTTTTCCTTTTAGCTTGTACATGCAAACAGATTTCCAGTACCAACCTATGCAGCCAACCAGCCTCAGCAGTTTCCATCAAGGTTTGAAATGAATTTATTTAGATTTTTTGACTAGGATAAAATCCATACTTAATGCCTTATAGTTTCTCTTATTTTTAATTTAACTTAGGGCAGACTATTTAGGCAGTTTAATTTAGGGCAGCTTTAGATAGGACACAATTTATAGAAATGCTTTCAAAGAACTTTTACATGAATTTCATCATTTTAATACAATGTTTAAAGGGAATTTTATTTAAAAAGAAGTCCAATGTGATAGTTCAGTAGAATAAGTGCTTGCCTGGCAAGCACAACGGCCTGAGTTCAATTCCCTGTTCTGCCAAAAAAAAAAAAAAAAAAAAGAGAGAGATAAAAAGAAGCCTGAGAAAGACTTAAAATGAGCTGTTGCTGAAGCTTTTGGTGTGTGTACTATTCAGAAGCAAAGGCCTTTAGAGTAATGAGCAATAAGAAATCAGACAGAGGGGACAAGTTCCTGTTGAGAACAGACAGAAGAGCCTGCAGTATAAGAAAACAGAGTTTGATGCATAAGAAACCAAGGAGATGAGGAATTGTGGGGATAAAGTTTGGGTGTAGAAGGAAGTCAAGAAGTAATTCCAGCTTTGAGTACATTTTCTTTTCTGGGTGCATCTCGTTATTCTGAGGATGATAAATGAGAAGCTAGAAAGTAGAGGAAAGCTTTCAATAAACTCACAGGGTAGTGGGAATAAGAACTGGAATCTTGCCTGAAGGATGTGCCCTGGCCAGCATCTGAGGCCCAGGGTTCAAGGTGAACCATACCCTTAACAGAGTCCTTGCTTTTGATATTTGGAACCCAATTAAAAAAAAAAAAAAACAGGCATGCAAGAGAAGAAAATGTTATTAAAATCAAGAATCATTGGGCCATAAAATCATGCTCAGAGGATAGCCACTTAATCCCTGACATAGACTTTAAAATAATCACGATAATTATGTCATGGAATTCATAGTCAAATTTGAAAATTTCGGGACAGAGATAGACTTTAAAGAATGAATGCAAATTCTAGAATTTGAAAGCACAAGAATTGAGGCCAGCAAGATAGCTTAGTAGTCTAAGTGCCTGCTTAGGCAAGCACCATATTCCACACCTGCCCTGCCCCCCGGTGTGCTGAGCAGGCCACCAAGACCAGGTGTGGTGGAGCCTACCCATAATCCCAGTGGTGGGGAGGCTGAAAACAGGAGGATCACTATGAGTTGGAGCTGCATAGTGAGACCCTGTACTAAATACATAAATAAAACCCTGCAAGAATTGAAATTAAAGAATATAAATGGCCTTAACAATCAGCAGGAAAGGAACAAACATACTGTTGCATTTTTACGTCCTATAAAATGCATCTGACCCTTGTCCTCCCTATTCCAGTTGCATTGCGGCACTGAGGAGTGTCCTAATATGTGGTTTTCAGTGTTCAGTATGAACACATTAAAATCCAACTGAAGATGAAGAGTATCAATTGCAGAATATGTATTTAGCAGGTGGTGCTCTCGTGTGCTATTAGATTGGAGGGACACTAAGATTGGATGTGGTCCGAAGATTAAGAAAGGGTGTCCAGGAATGAAGGTGAAGATGGCTAGGCATAGTCCTAATAGTAAGGTTAACTCTCAGAATGGATATTGTTTGAGAAGCTGGAATTGCAGCTCTCTATATGTAAACATAGAGCTAGTTTACACTTAGCAGTAATTTTTTCCCATAAATTTTAACACTCAGGAAAATTGCTTCATCTGCTTAATACTTCCCTCATTTGTCTTTCACACAATTTAATTTCAGATTCTTTGAGCTATTCTTTTTGAAAACATGATAGCACCTTCATACATGATTGATTGCAGAGTAACAATGTAAAGTAGATAATAGTTCCATTTTAAATTCTGATTGGAACCCTGTAACTATTGACTGTTGTATTAATAATATCAGAATATAAAGTGCCCTCACCTGTTTTCAGGAAGGCTGAGAGTGGTGTTATGTAGAGCTTGTCCTTCCTGCAGCATTATTTCATTCAGTTCCCACACACTGTTAACTCTTTTCCCCTACAGGCCACCTCCACCACAACCGAAAATGTCACCTCAGGGAAATCTAATTCCTGCTCGTCCTGCTCCTGCACCTCCTTTGTATAGTTCCCTCACTTGATTTTATACACTTTTGGCATATGTCTTCAGGGAACTGAGTGAATGTTTTACCCCCTGGTGTTTTGTTCAGAAGTTTTTCTCCTATTGCAACTTTGAATGGAAACAAATGCTACAAAACAGACGAACTGAGTGGGGAGTTGAGCAATACAAGGAACTGCAGTCAACTGAGGAATCCATTTCCAGCATTGAAATGTTTTATTTGATCATCTGTGAGGTTATGTACCTAACATAGATTATCTTATTTTGAACATGTTATAGCAGTGATTCTTGAATTAACTGCATTGGTGTTAGATTTGTTATTAAGTGTTTAAATGTCCTCAATTTTTGACCTTGCTTATCATTAATGTAGTTTGTGATCAAATGTGATAATCTAATACCTTTGAAAACTAATTATCTGTCAATAATATCTAATATTTTTCATCTTGCACAGACTAATAACCATTGTACACTACAATCTTGTTTCTCACTTATGACATGAATAAACAGATATTCTGGTTTTGGAAAATACACAAAAACCAGGATTAAGATGCCATAATTTTGTTTTGAAAATACAAAATATGCTAAAGAAGTATGTGTTTATTCACACACTAGTTCCCAGTCTTACGATTCTTTACTATAAGTGACTATTAGAAAAATTCATTTAATATTAGATTTCTATTACACATCATGTTAAAGCATGGCATCCTTTTGCAATAGCATTATTTTAAATAAATATAAGCTTTAAGGTACGAGGTGTTTAATACATCTAATCAGATATGCTGTTGACTCATGGCTATAATAAAGGAATAATTTTAATCAGTCATTTGAGCTATTATAAAACCACTTAAAAATTTATGAGCACTTTAAGTCTAAAATCTGAATTTTTGAAGCTTGATATTAAATCACTTAGAATGTTTACATTTACTAAGGTGTGCTGGATCATGTCTCTTTTTGACTCTAATATTTTCCTAGAAATTAGGCTGGAAAAAAAGGAAGAAAAGATTTTCTTAGATAAGTACAAAAGTTAATGTGTCTGTGAATTATCTTAGCTATGTAAAAAATAAATTTTTACTATGGATGAAATGGTATGGTCAATAAAATTTTAAATTTTTTCACAGTCTTTCATAATAAAGTTTAATAATAGATTTATTAACTGAATTTCATTTGTTTTTTTTTTTTTTGGTTTGTGTATATAACATTTACAATAAATGAAATACTTGAAATTCCCAGTGACTTCTCACTCAATTATTCATAACTTTATAATTTAAAAGAATATGACTTTAGATAAAATATTAAACTTCCAGATATGCACAGTGGCTTTGTTATTAAAGGAAAAGAGATCAGTTTTGAGGAAGATGGAAATTTCAGTTGTTTGAAGATAAATACAGTATTTTAAGTTGCATATTAAAAATTGTGATCTATCCTAAATGAATGGCCTTATTTCCCTTTAAATCTCTTAGTGAATTCGTATAAAAATTTGTGTCTTTCCCTTCATAGAGCTTCAGATTTTGTGATTAAATGCATATTGCTTAGCATTTGTAGTTAGTAACTATAGAACAGTAGCAATGTTCTTAGAATTAGATAATTCCTTGAGTCTTTGACTAATTTGTATTAAAAACTATTTGTTGGGGGCCAGGGAGGTGGCTCAAGTAGAACAAGCGCTTCCCTGGCAAGTGCAAGGGCCTGAGTTCAATCCCTGGTTCCACAAACAAAACAAAACAAAACAAAACAAAAAACCCAACTATTTGTTTAGAACTTCTTTTGCTTTGAAATATTTTCCACATATTTTGTATGCTTTTCAGTTAGGTTTTGTCCTGGGTTATATTGGAGTGTAATGAAAAATTGCAACATTCCTGGTCGTGAATGCTTTTTAGATGTCTGTAGAGTCTGCAGACTTCCACTATGCCAGCTGAGTTACTGAAAAGGTGCCCATGGATGCTACCATAAATAAGAAAAAGAACTTTCTTGCCATTTGCTAAAGGAATTATATTCAGTGATAAGTTATATAAAGGTGTGGCTGAATGTATGTTCACAAATTGACCTTTTCCAGGGTATTGTATTTTTTATTTCCTGGGTCTCTAACTCTGGAGTTAAACATACTCCAGATTTTTAAAGTAGATGTTATGTTTTATTAAATTTCATCAATGTTAACGGAAACCTGCCACCTGTCAGGTACTCTATCGGGTACTGTGATGTGTGAGTTCTACATAGGACATATTTCCTACCCTTTGAGCTTACAACATCTGTTATGGAGTGGGCCACACCCACAAGGAAGAGTGATAGAAAGTCTGTTCTGTCAAAGATACCAACAGGAAGGACTGAGGAGACTAAAAGAACAGTGAAGTGAAAGACACTAGAAATCAATTGAAAAAATTTAGCACAAACAGGTTCTTGGCGTTTGTTGTAATTGCTCACACTGTACAGAGTGAGGTGAAAATAGCTTTGGCTGACCTGCCTTGTGCCTGTGGTGCAAGTCTAGCGTTGACAGATCCTATGGGATACAAGCTGAGTGTGTTTTCTGGTGCCTGTGTTGATGCAGTTTTCTTTTTCATGGTTAGTGCCCTGTTGAAATCCCAGGCATCCTTAAAATTCCACCTCAGTTGTCATTTTAAGTGTCTTGATGCCCCTACTGGGTGCTTCTGTGGGGCCATTCAGGTAGTGTGTCAGTGTATCTGTAGTTAGTATGAGAATTCAGCTCATTCCCCGGGATTTGGAAGGAATTAAAAGTTAATGCACGGGAATGGAGAGGGTGAGGCTGGAAGGCAGGGCTCTGCAACACGGCTGTGTTAGAAAGGCCCACAGCAGAAGGCGAGGGGAGACCTGGGAGCCGGGAGGAGCCTGCTTGCCTGAGGCCGGGCGGTTGCAGGTGTGTGCGGTTGGCAAAGCACTCGATTTCACTCCAGAAAGCGCCCGAACTCCTTGAATTCCACTCAGAAATAAAAGCTGCCTTTTCTGAGACACCTGGTACAGATTCATGACTTGTTCTGAAATAGGTTTATACATTGCAGGCGCAGACCTACAGGCTGTGTGCACAGCGTCCACAAGTTTCCAAGGTCCCCTCCAGCTGTAAGGTTCCTTCCTCTGGCAAAACAGAAGTGGTAGAAAATAAAGAAACCGTACTGCTCTGTGTCGGAGGGCTCCCAAAGAGAAGCAAAGGGCTCCTGGAGGAGTCAGACAGGCAAAGAATTTACCTCGCTGAGTTACAGGTGGAGTTTGCATGGGCATTACCACAGTATGGTAGGGTGCATAATGGGGAAGCCTTGGCCTGTGCGAAAAACAAGAGGAATCTGAGGTTAACCCAGGGAAGAAGATGGAAGTCAGTCTAGGAGCGGTGTGTGTTTGGAGTAGGATTCCCGTGCAGTGCTGATTCCCTACCATGGTGACCTGGCAGACCCCGCACAGCACTGCTGAGCTTTGCATCCACAGTCCCCATGGGGGAAAGGGAGTCTCCATGGTTCCATTGCCAAAAGTGAGCTTGGTGGGCTGTTCTGGACAAGGGACCTCTTGGGTTGGTTTGGATCTTTGCTGTGCATGCTGTTAATTCCAGCTATGAAACTAAATACCGGAGACTGCCTGACAACAGAATGTTCACACCTGTGTGTGGCTGAAGACCAGCTGCTGGGTGGCCACCGGTTCGGTTCTAGTGACAGTTCTAGACTTCAGCCCACCGCAGGTGTTTGCAGGGAGGAGCTGCAGTGCTGTCCGCTGTCTGGTCTGACCAGGGAGTAAGTGGAGCAGGAAGGCCCCATGACCACCCTAACCCTCCCAGCCTGTAGATAACAGTATTTTAAACACAGAGGTTTCAAACATTTTAGATTCAGAACTTCTTTACACACTATTGAGATCCTCAAAGGTTTTAAGTTTGTATATGCTAATATTCTCATCTTAGAAATTAAAATAGAAACTTCAAGAATGTATATTAGCTCATTTAAAGACAGGAATGGACATGATAAGCAACATATTTAAAAAATAAGTTATAACTTACTCAAGCCAAACAAAACAGAAATGTGGCATTGCTATACATTTTTGTGAACCTTTTTAATGTCTTCCAAAATGGAACACAGTACCAAAACCCCTGATAAGAGGTTTTGAGGGCTTTTAAGGGGAGAGCAGGGAGGTAAGTAGGCAGATTGGGTGCATATGATTGGAGGACCTTGCACTTGCCAAGCAGGTGCCTGTGCTTATGCCACTGAGCTATCTTCTTGGCTCACTCCAGCATGTTATTGGTTGATTTCTTCATGATGGCAATTCATTCTGGGATGAGTTGGAATCTCAGCCTGTTTTAATTTGTATCTCTTGAGTGACTAATGACATTGACCATTTTTTCATATATTTATTTTCTGTTTGCATTTCTTCATTGGAGAAATGTGTATTAATCTCAGATGCCCAGTTTTGGATTGGGGCTAATATGCAACATAATAACTATTATTTGCCTATTATGTTGTTATAATTTTTTCATAAAATTAAAAAAAATAAATTTTTACTTGAAATCACAAAAAATCCCAGCAATGTTAATTTATAAAATATTTGTGTTACTGAACTAATCACACATGGTATTCCCTACATCTGCAAAAATTTAGAACTACAGAGCTGATTTGTTTATTGTAGCCTGTGTTAGCTTCTAAAACTCAGAAAACATTTGAGTTAGCTTCAATCTTATATGGCTTATCCCAGTTTTCTGTGTGATCTGGATCAATATCCTCCTCTTCCTCTTCCCCTCCTCAGTGCCTTTTGGTTTTAGAGATTTACTGATACTTTCCTTGGGAACTGTTCAACAGGATTTCTAAGGGTTGTCAGCTGTCAACTGCAAGCTGACAATATTTCAGGAAGCATTTCTGTTGTTGGCGTTTCTTCTGCATAACTCATATTATGAACGTGTTAGCAGAGAGGGGAGCTTGGGCCTTGGAATTGCTGAAGCAGACAGCTGTCCATCATCTTCAACAATGTGGACCACTTCAGTGTCAGCCAGGTTACTCACAGCTAGCTTTTTTTTAAAGGGAACTCTGAAGCTTTTTGTCATCAATTATAGTTGTTCTGTGTGCCTTAGTTTTGTGTCCCCTTTCCATATCTAAGCCTCAATGTGGGCAATTTTTCTTGATTTTTGCTGTTAGTAAATCTGAAGGAGGGAAAGTCTACCAACATTAGCACCCAGAGAGAGCAAAATGGCTCCATTGGGCTATATTGGGATGTCACGTAGGATGGCGTGTTGTTTCTCAACATCTTGAGATTTGTGTCTATGCATTCCATTTTGGAAATGAACTATAAACTCAGTTTTTTTAAAATTACAAATCACATTGGAATTTTAGAATGGAATGGTATTGGATATATAGTTTTTAAATTTTTATTTGAGGAAGGGTCTACAGGGTCTAGAGGGTCTCGCTGCATAGATTGGACTCGTAGCGATCCTCCTGTTTACAGCCTCCCAAGTGCTGGGATTATAGGCGTGTGCCCCCACGCAGGGTCTTAATCCCCATCTCAGCTCACCCTGGGGGCGGGGCTGGCACCACAGGCTGGGGGGTAGGTGGGATCGAAGTCCCTGCCTCTGCATCTGCCTAAGCAGGTGCTTTGGATTTATAGTATTTTAACCATAATTTTGTTTTAATGTGTTTAGGACAGGGTCTACAGGGTCTTACTATGTAGATCAAATTGATAGTGATTCTCCTGTTTTCAACTTCCTAAGTGCTGGGATTGCAGGGGTGTGCCACCACAACTAGTCTCAATTGCCTGCTCAGTGTGCCCCAGGGGTGGGGCTGGCATGGCGTGCCAGGGATTGAACCCTGGCCACTGCCCTGTGCCTAAGCAGGTGCTTTAGTCTGCTGAGCTATCTGGCCAGCCCTTATCCACAAGTTTAAAAAATTAATATAGACATTTAATGTATTTATTCATTTATTTGTTTATCTTTTTAAGACAAGATCTTGCTGTGCAGTTCAGGCTGGACTTGAGCTTACTTCGTTGCCCAGGTTGGTCTCAAACTCATAAAAATCCTCCCA